TTCGATTGTAATTACCTAAAGTTTAGGTTATTTCTAAACTCTTTGACATGAGGTACATTTTTATGGTATATTAATTTACTTTCAAACTTTATGCATTTCTAGACGAAATACAAGCTATCTTCCAAGTCTATTTATCAAAAAATAAAACTTGAACTAGGATTATTAGACTTGGTAAAATATAAACGATACTCAAAATGGTCTATTAAAAAACACCTAGATAGAGTTATAGAGTTTAAGGCTAAATTTTGGGCAAAAATCCCTAAAAAAGAGTTTCGGCTATAGCCAACAAGGTTTGGAACTTGATTTTATAAAGAAATTTAAGGGAATGAATTCAATAATGTGTATGAATTAAACGTGAGATCCCCAAGTATGAAAGCTTGTTGAAAGAAGAAAGAGATAGAAATCCATATACTATGAAACTTATTGTCAAGAACTCATTCCATTAGAGATTGACATGGCCAAATTCATCCATAGAACCCCATTAGTTTGTAATACTCTCATTAAGAAAACTACTAATGCTATGAAATCATTTAAATCCACAAAATAAAGGCAATATCCTTTTAACATTAATCAAACTGACTAAATATTTGATTGGTTGGTGGCTAAAAGAAGAGTAAAAATCAAAGAAAAATACAAAACAATAATATAATGGAAAACCATATTGTAAATGACATGGAGTATTAGGACATGTAATCAATAATTACATAGTATTCAAAAACATTATACATGATTTAATAGAGGCTAAAAATCTTAAATTCCCGGATAACAATGATCAAATAAGAATAGATAAAGATCATTTTTTAAATGTAAATGCAATTGATGCTCTTACTCGTCATAAGCATGATTTCGATTATCGATACTTTTATTTGTTACGATGATTTATAGACGAGTGACATTTGACATTTGACATTAAGTAAATAGATTATCTATTACGGATAAAGTTTTTGAAATTTGTATCTATTGATTAGTCCTAAGAGATAGAACATATATGTCACCGGCACTTGACGGATGGACATATAACTAATGCATGCTCGACTTTCAATCGATTTGTCAAAGTAAATATCTTTGAAGGAAAGATGATCCCAAATAAGGATAAGTTGTAAACTCTTGATCTCATATACCTGTATGAGCTAATGAGAACTAAGACCTTTGAAAATTCTAGGCCTTTGATTCCATCCAATCTTTCTATAGGAGAGATAATCTAGCGAGCTCTAAAGGTAGAAATGCTTTTCCATAACCTTAAGATGCTTCGAGTGTCCTATGTAAGAAGTGCAAACCAATTCTCTTATACAAGCCGATAACTTGAGGAATAAACCTCAAAAGAAAAAGGGAAGGTCTAACAAAAAAGTTTTATTGATGTCACTTTTAGGAGATTGTCCTAAAGAAGTTAGCATTCTCTAAGGTGGAGCTATCTACTTAGGAATCACCAACCGTTGAAGAAGTCGAAGACTATGGATGGACTACAATCTTGACTAAGTCATATAAAAAGAAGAACAAGAAATGAATCCAGCAAAAGGTAAAAATAGTAGCTAAGACAACACAAAGAATGAGCCAATACAAGAGAGTAACTAGCTTTTAGAGGTAAGGAGTTCCATCGAAGAGCAAGTACTTGGAAAGAAAGAAATTAAGACTTCACCATTGATTGAACCGAGTAATAATCTGGTCATAAAATTTAGAACTATTTCTAAAGATGAAGATAGTTAAGGCCTCAAGGTTCATAAGAAACTAGCGAGAAACCCTTTGTTAAATTTCTCTAACGAAATAACCAAGATAATGAAATAGTAAAGCCTCTACAAGAAGAAAATGATTCACGGACAGTTGATTACTCAAAGGAGACAAAAGATATAAGGTGTAATATGATCATCTTATTACTTGTAAAGTTTCTTCTACAATTTGAGCAATTAACTCTTCTAGAAGAAGATATAATGAATGACACTTCAACATCACATGAGATCATACAAGAGCTTGGACATCCAAAATATTACAACATGGAATACCTCCATATAAATAGTTTTAATGATATTGGATCTGTCTATAAATAAACAGGAGCATACTAAAGAATAGAAAATGATAAACACCATCTTATAAAAACTAAAAAGGAAAACCTTCATGCACCTCAAGCCATTATATATTATAGCTAATATGAATGAAATCTCATTGAATAGAGTCATGGTAGATAATGCCACTACAATCAACATTTTCCCATTATATATGCTAGATCTTAACAAACAAAGCAAAATAGGATCTTATACCCAATAAAGTAGCAATCGGTGGGTTTACAAGCAATGTATTGAATGTTTAAGACATACTTACAATAACTTTAAAGATGGTAATATTGAGCACCAATACATTTTGTTTTATAGTAAAGACCATATCCAGTTATAATACATTATTAGAAAAAGATTGACTACATATGAATAGCTACATCCCCTCTACCCTCCATCAATCAATATTATTCCGGAATAAACGAAGTTCCGGACTCTAAATGCGAGATGATAAACCCTTCATAGTATGTACCAATCATTTAGATTGATAATTTTATATAGGTGAATATACACCCATCAAAGTGCATACCAAGTATAATACAACTATAATCCACTTTGAAACTATCCACGATAATGCACTCTATACAAGAAAAGTCTAGAAGAGAAAACGAAGGGTTTTACCATGAATGACACCCATAAAGAGGATGAATCTAGAAGCAAAGAAGTCTAACCAATCATCTAGAAATTAATGGCATATGTGAGAAAAAAGAAATTGTTGTTGCAACACCACCCAAACTGGACACCAACCGAGAACTAGCCTACCAATATGGAACCTACAGAGCTTCCCAATAGTACCATAAAAGCAATGACATACGAGAAAGCTAACCCTCCGAAGAAGGGAAATAGGAGCAAACATAAAGAGAAAATCACCTACACAAATGCTAATATGGATACACAAGATAAACAACAAATGATGGAACTCCTAAAGTAGTTTAAAGACTATTATGTATATGATTACAAAGATATACTAGGTTTGAATATAGAACTAGCGGAGTTGAGAATTCTAATCAAACTAAATGCAAAACGTTTTAATCAAATAATTAGGAGAATATCCCCTTCCATACTTGTCTAATGTTAAGAAAGAAATGCGAGAGGTTGTTCAAGGCGGGATTTATTAGGGCTATTAGACATGTGGAATAGATGTTTAACATAGTTTTGATAGTAAAAGGAAATGGTAAAATCAGAGCATCCATTGATATTATGGATTTAAATAAAGAAACTTTAAAGATGAATATCTCATGCCAACCAAATACCAATTATATAAGAAGACATCCACAAGACAACATTTAGATGTCCTAGAGCTATCGTTGTATATGAATGGGTGATGATACTCTTCGGATTGAAAAATGATGAGTAACTTACCAAAAGGCCATGAACATTATCTTTCATGATTTGATTAGAAAGAATATGGAATTACACGGATGATATTGTGGTCAAATCAATAGACCAATAGAAGCACATAGAGGAATGGACTTAAATTGACGAGTCTAGTTATAAAACAACACCAAACATAAATATAAAGAGAGAAGAAGATCTCTAAAATTTAGATTTCCAAGCGGACTTATTGGAAGCCATAGAAATAGATTGAGGTTGAAAGATTGAGAAAAGAAAAGGAACAGAATTCGATAAAAAGCACAAAAAGATGTAGAAGTTTAAGAACCCTAGCATTAAGAGAGAAGGTTTCCATGAAAATTGATTCAACAAATGCAGTAGCATTTAAAGTCCCCTCATATTAATTTACTACAAATTAAAAAGACATATGGATTCAAATAATCATTGTAGAGTGAAGAGACTAGTTCTAGGTATTCGTTGTAACGTTGGAACCTAGGGGAAGAGAAATGAACAAGCACCAAAGTAATTATTTTTTTTCAAACATGAGAAGTGCATCACACACGAAAAGAAAGGGGCGGATGGTATACTTATACTTTGATTGGGACCTAATGACCTAATAAATTAATTAAGGCCCGGAGAGGCTTTCATCACTAAACCTATGTGTATGGCTCTCAAGAGTCGCCGGTGCATTCAAGGCCAAGTCCATAAAAGCGGACCCATCCAAAGAGGAGGTCTAAAAGAGCTTTATGTTTGAGAGATAGAAATATAAGCAAAGAACTTTGGAAGTCAAGTCCTACTCAAAAAGAAAGATTAACAAGAAGATAACTAATTCGAATGACTAGCACCGAAATAAGGACATGAAAATATTGTAACGAATGAGTGAGAATACTAAAAAGCATGGAGCATTGTAGTATAAGGAAACATGGAACTTTGTAGCCCAAGGAATAAAATTATGGAACGTTGCAATTAAAAAACATGGCCAATAAAGAAGGATGTAAAAGAATAGAAATGCTATAAATATTTGTTGCAACCAGGAAATAAGAACATACAATAAACAAAATACAATAATAATACTCTTGTATATTATCGGCATTATCTCTCAAATCATTTTTACACTTGAAGCATAGTAGGCTATAGTTTATAGGCAATAATTAAAAAGGTTGTAATCAAGTAAGTAGTAATAGTAGGTTGATAGATCATTTTTGGTTCGATTGTCACTTTCATTATAACACACGCAGATCCTATTTCTTGATGTTTGAAGTTTTAATTGGTATCTCGTTCATCAATTCATATTTTTGTAAGTCTTTATATTTCTAGAGTCATTGTAACTTATAAAGACTTTTAATTAAGTATTTATCAATTTCAATTTCTATTCAATCTTGCAATTTGCAATTCATATACTTATTGTTGATAGAAGTTAATTTATTTTTTGAATAGAGATATTGTTATCGAGTGTTTCATATTAGTTTTAAGATATTACACTTGTCATATATTTCCATTCCAACCTTACAACCTAGATTTTTTGGGTAGCACTGGAACCACTTCAAAGGGATTTTAGATTGTTGCACTCTAGTGTAAGTAATAAGTTTAGCCATTTAATTTAGAGTCCGGTAGATGGACTACTTTATAGACTCGCTTTTCAATCATTTCATAATCTTTTTGTTCCAAAATTCTCTTCATTGAGGTCGATACAAAAGAATCCAGAATGACGAGTGGATTAAGCCTCTTATAACCATCTCCTTTCCGCCTCTCATGACCATCTTCCTTTTGTTGAAGTCTTGGTTTCCCTTCTTGCCTAGTTTCTGGCTTCCAAGAAGCTTTGATGAAAGATTGACACAATAAATCAGCAATATATGTTGCCATTTCTTCAACCTATTTCTTGTATGGAAAACTTTCTTCTTCAAAGTGTTGGGACAACTATAATACGTGGATACAACTTGATATTTAGTCTCATGATCTAGGAGTTCCGCATCATTTCGAGCAGATCCTTTTGGCATGCTCATTGCCATACTAACAGGGACCTTTTGGCTATATGACGCAGTAAACAATTAAAGATAGTATATTGCTTTTGGGTCTGTGAGATTAACTAGAGCGAAACAAAAGTTGAAATGGTCTTCCAAAAATAATTCCTAAACTTTCTCCAACATATTTGCCAGCTTCTTTATATGATCATGCCGACACAAGAAATAGGAGCCATCAAGACGACAAGTTTCACCAAACTTTTCAAGCAATTGGAAAAAAAAGTAACATCTGACAGTATGTGAAGTATAAATTTAAAAAATTAGGGTCTTTTTTTTTTTTTTGAATTAAAAAAAAACACCGTAAAGACATAACAATTTACAAGGGTTGTGTTGTGAATTCTAAAATTATAAAGTTAATCTAAATATTTTATTGGTTATTGCTATTGAAATTAAAAATTTATCTTTTCTTGAATTTCGATTTGTCTATGAATCACGTTAAACAGTAACAACAACTTTCAATCAACCTAGCTATTTTTATCGATATCTTGATTTTCTTGTTGAAAGACATTGAGATTCACGTGCCTCTCTTCAATTTGAAGATAGAAAAGAGAGAACAGATAGAGAAGAGAGAAAGTTCAGTGAGAATAATGGAAAAAATACTTAACTAATATTACTGTTGGTTGATTATATATGAGAATATATTTGCCTTTTCACTATTTTTTGCCTAGAAAAATGAGGGTGTAAAGTATTACTGCTCAAATATATTGTGTTTAAAGTAATTTATTCAAATAAAAATGGAGAAACCCCTGAAGAAACAAAGAAAGAGGGAGAAAAGATATATGTACAAGGCCTGAGCTCAAGTAAAGTCTCTATGAAGCAATGACCGGCCCAAGATGTGGCAAGGGAGGTTATGAATGTTGCTAAAGAGTAAAAGGGCTTAATGGTAGTAAATTAGGCTTGAAACCTATTGTTTTTCACTCGTTACCTGACGGCCTCTTACTAATCCAAGGCCTAAAAAACTCAACAAATTCATTGGATAATGAGGCACAGCAACTCGAGCACGTCAGAGACGCAAGATATATATATATATATATATATATTTTCGTTTTTTTAACAATTTTTAAGATCAGACCTCCCAATTCTCAAATTTAGTCATAAGCTTTTCCAGGCCCAACTTACTTTGAGTATGCAACAGTGAAAAGGGTCCATAATAATGATAACATGATTTGAATTTCCACATTTTATTTCTTTTTTCGTAGAGATAGGAGTATTTCAGACCAGCTTCTTGTACTGCTATATTTATTATTATTATTATTATTATCAACTCCTTTTATCTTGCCAATGCCTTGCAAAAATATAAATTTGAAACCGACAACAACATCAATTAGCAAACCTGATCAATGGAGAGAGAAAAAAATCCAAACCAAAGACCTCAATTTGACTGGCTTCAATCATTGATTCCGTATAGGGATGTATATGAACATAGACACAGGATCTCAATCCTGTCCAGTATATAATCCCTCTCCACATAGGAATGAACATTAATTAGTTGGTGATTTCTAATGTGTGGAGGCTAATTACAGTGCTTGATGATCTTGTGCGTCTAACTTTTGATGAAAACATGTTGACAGTTTGCATCAAGACTGAGATCATCTAATTGTGTCATTTGTTTAATCAAACACATGAAGAGACTCGTATTCATAGGTTGCCAATTGATTATGAATAAGAGCTTGTTTGGCTTCTTATTTTATAGTTTTTATTATTTTGTTTTAAAGCAAAGCAATTAAAAAAAAATTGTTTGGTAAAGATTTTAAAAATCAACCACTTAATTTTTGAAAGTGAATATATATGTAAGCAAATAAAAATTATATTCGCTTTCATTTCAAAACACAAGAGAAGTGATTTATAAGCAAATTAAAATTATAGTAGCTGTAATTTCAAAAGGCAGGAGAAGTGAATTTTTGAGATGGAAAACTATATATATATATATATATATATATATATATATATATATATATATATATATATATATATAACCTTAAATTTAAAAGTACAACATACATATAGAGTACTTTATCCTAACATTCAGATAGACTACTACTATGTTTCTTAATTGAATTATTTACACTATATAAAAAAAAAGTTAAATAGTAATAGAAATCAACGACGGATATGAAGTTGTTAGCATATAGTGACGGATTAGCAAACGATTAGTGAATTTTATAAAATTTTCAATATTTTGGGTTAATAGAGATGAAATATTGATCGAATTTCAATGATGAACATCGTTATCATTGAATTAAGCGGTAAATGTTTTACGGTTAAGTCAATGATGAAATATCAACTCGAGTTGCGAGGAATTTTAGTGACGGATGATGTTTTTTGTCATTAATTCTAGATGGGATATGGAGAGATGATTTAATGATCAACTAAGCCTCGTCGTTAAAAAAAGCTAAAAATTAGCAATGAAGAGTTATCTTTAGCAACAAAATTGAGTCCATTGGTAAAAAACGAAGATGGCAACACTTATTTTTTAGCGATGGAATTGCATCCGTCACTTGGAAAAATTCCTAAATCGAAAAAAGCAAAAGCCTTCCCCTTCCTCCATTTTTCCTTTTCTCCATCCCTTAAAAATAGGCCGCCACTCCTTCTTTCTATCCTAGCCACATCACCGACCTCTTCTTCTTCACCCACTCAAATGCAAGGGTTTGTTAATTGTTTTTATTCTTGAATGATACAACCTCTTTGTTACAAATTATTACAATTTATATTCTTTTTTTTTTGCTATAATCCTCTACTTCTCATATCTATAGTAGCTATGTACAATCTACCTCTTTCAAGTATATACAATAAGAAATATAAAGTAAATACATATTCTTAATACTTCCCCTCAAGTCAATGATTTATCTTAAAAATACCCAACTTAGACATAAGGCATTGATGATGCTTACCGCCAAACCTTTAGTAAAAATGTCCGTAATTTGCTCTCCTATCGTGACAAAAGCTGTTTTGATCATTCCTTCTTTAAGTTTCTCTCTAACCAAATGATAATCTATCTCAATATATTTAGCTCTCTCATGAAAAACTAGATTGGAAGCAATATGTAAAGTCGTTCGATTATCATAACTCACCTCTACTCGCTCATAAACTTGTCATCCGTAATTCTTTCAATAAGCCAACCAATCGGATTACTTCACATGTAGTTGAATTCAAAGCTCGATATTCTACCTCGGTTGAAGATCATGAGATTGTATTATGTTTATAGGTTTTTCAAAACAAGAGTGAATTGGCAAGAAACACATAAAAATCAATCAAGGATTTTTCTCATCATAGGACAAGATGCCTAATCGGAATCACAAAATGCTTTAATATGTAGCTAACTGGAGAAGGACATCTAAATACCAAGATCTGGATTGTCTTTGAGATACCTAAGTACTCTTATAGCTGAATTCATGTGTGAAACCTTTGGTTAATACATGAATTGACTAAGTATTTGCACAACACAAGTGATATCAAGTCGAGTTATGGTTAAGAAAATCAACTCGGCTTCCCAACTAACCTTTGATACTTAGTAGGATTATGTAAAATTGAATCCGCATATATGTTATGAATTGTTTCATCATACTACACTATGGTGAGCTTTAAATTATATTGTAAAGCCATCTCCACTCGGTTAGGAACCAAATAAGCCAGGATCATTTAATAATTCCAAAGTATACTTTCTTTGGCTTAGGTAGATTCCCTTTGTAGATCTAACAACCTCAATTCCTAAAGAATATTTCAAGCAACTTGATCATTGATATAAAAAGTTTCATGTAAGAAACTTTAAGCTTGTGTATTTCATTTGCATCATCTTTTGTAATCAAAATATCATCCACATATACTAACAAGATAACCTTTTTTCTATTTGTCAATTTAATGAACATTGAATAATCATATTTAGATTGAAGAAAGCCAACAAATATCATCTTTTTTGTAAATTCTGAATTCTACTACCTTGAAACTTGTTTTAAATCACAAATAGACTTAAACAGTCTACATACTAAACCCTTTTCCTAAGTGTGAAGTCCAAGAGGCAAACTCATATAGACTTCCTCATATAGATCTCTTTATAAAAAGGTATTAGTCACATCCATATGATATAAAGGCCGATCAAGACATCGACTAAAGCAATAACAATCCCGATAGTAATCATTTTAACTATTAGATAAAAAATTTTTCTATAATCAATGCCTTTTTGTTGAGTATAACCCTTAGCCACTAGCCTAACTTTATGCCTTTCTACACTGCAATCACGATGATACTTCATCTTATAAACCCATTTGTATCTTATTGGTTTTTTGTCATGTGGCAAAGGAGCTCAATCCCACGTTCGTTTAATTCAAGAGCTTGGATTTCCTTAGTCATAGCATGAAACCTCCGAGGTTCTTAATGGATTTTAAGTAAGAATCATGCTTTCTAATAGAAGAAATAGACATCGAAAGGTTGTCCGTGATAGAGACACTAAAGTATAAGAAATATAATTTAACAAAGAGTATGCACTAAAAGGTAGTTGAATAGAATGAGATGTAAGTAAATTAGGACACGAGTAATCATTATACCAAAAAGGCAACTTAGACACCCTAGAAGATCTTTTAAGAGGGATCATATCGGATGTAATTAAAGAAGTGTTAGGAGTAAAAGAGGAAATAACATAAATATTATTATTAGATGAAGAGTAAGTGGATGAAAATAGTGTAGAATTCAGTAAAGGAGAAATAAAATCAACGGATACATAAGAAACATGATTAGAAGAATTAGTAATTGGGAAAAATTTCATCATCATATGTCCATTGAGAAACATAAAAGATAGAAATGGAAGTAGTCATAGAAGGATAGGAAGAAGTCGAATTAGGAAAAATGGATTCTTGAAACATTACATATTTATAAATAAAGACATATTGATCTTTTAAATCCATGACTTTATATTATTTTTTTAATAAGGATATCACAAAAAACACAAGGTTTAGATCTATGAGCAAATTTATCAAGACAAGGTAGTACTTTGATATAACATAAACATCCAAAGACTTTAAGATGTGTAAATGTCGAAGGCTTATGAATAGTATTTCAAAAGGAGTTTTTCCATGTGAAAGTGGTTTTGGGGTTCTATTGATGATGTATGTAGATGCTAAGACACAATCCCTCCAAAACTCAATAGGTACTTTTGAACGGAGCATAATTGCTCTAGCAATGTTAAGAATATATCCGTGTTTTTCTACAACACCATTTTATTATGGAGTATAGGATATATTAGTTTCACGAAGAATACCCTGTTAGTGTAGGTGCCCAAGATCCAATCATATTTGGATGGATTTGAGTTATTATATTATTGCATAATTTATAATAAAAAAGTCTTTTTATTAATTCTTATCATTTACATTTATTAATTGAATAGAATTAGATAGAGGTCTATGTGATATGCATTTGCATTAGTGATTAATTAAAAAATGTGAGACAAACACTAATGTACATAAATGATATAAGTAAATGTCCCAAGTTGTAGCATTATCAAGAATGGATATTGACTATATACGGTTAACCTTATAAGCAATATACTCATGCTATTTAATAATAGTAGGAGATCTCACACCTATTGGCATGATGATGCCAAAGCAAACACTTAGATGATTTATGTTAGAGAACATATAACTGGACTTGACTTGCCATGAGAACCCATTTGGTTTAGTATATGAGAATCTCATAAGAGATGGGTACAAGTAGTCCTTAGACTTGAAGTCATCATAGTTATCTCATTAGAGGATTTATGCACTTTGACACTCATTTTGATTGACCTAGTAAAGGTTTACACGTAGGCGATTTGTTAGGTGCACTAGAAATCTAATAAAGATAGGTGTATGACTAAGATAAGACATGTCATTCCTTGTAAAAACGAGTTATCACATTACACTTCGATGAATGTCTACTCAAAAAATCTATGACCATAGTAGGAGCACACCAATAAAGCAAGTTGGTTTATTCTAAGAGCTAAGATATTTAGTAATTAAAGAAAACTTATGTGATCATAATCGAATAAGACTTATAACTAAGTTTGAGATCACACTCGTGATAAGTTGAAATGTGGACTAAATTGTATAGTAATCGCGCTTCATGATAGGTAATAATGGATTAATTAATCCTCTTAGAGAATTAGGTAGTTATGATGCCTTGCTAGAGGTCAATCTGGATTTATGTATCAAGAGATAAAAGAGGAGTCTTTTGTTATTGATACATTGCCAACATATCTAAGAGCCTATTCAGTCACATGCATAAGTTTAAGTGTTCACATGATTAAAGAGAAGCAAAGACATTGGAAAAGGTTTTCAATTTTGAAAGTTTCCTATTTTGGAAAAAAATTCCAAAAATGAAAAGTTTTCCGAAATAGAAAGTTTCTTATTTTAGAAATCAGTTTCCTAATTTAGAAGTAAATAACCTAAAATGAAAATGAGTTTCCTAATTTAGGTTAAAGGGTATTTTAGAAAA